TTGTTTTTTTCCTATATTAAAATATGTAATTTTTCACAACATTTCTTGTTGGTATCGTTTTTCCACCTGCTTATACTGCAGGGAAGTGTAGGGTACAATTGTGTGTTTTCTCTATGATTGGTTCAGGGTGAAGTGGACCTGTTTATGTACAAGAAAAAGAAATCTACGTATAAACAGGAAAAAGGACAAAATGGCTCAAATAAGTTTCGGTATTAGTACCCCCTTTAAAAATATGTTTCGGTACTCAGTACTGGTGAGTACCAGCAGAATTGCTCCCCTAGATTGTTTTTTTTTGTTGTTGAGGTAAGGTGACTGTGATAAAGCAAAATATGAACAACTGACTTTACTAAATATTTGTATTTATTGCGTGAATATTGTATAGAAATAAATTAGGAGAAATGTAATTTATGCACTAAATAGTTGTTTTAGTGGACAGGCTCACATCTGAGACTTAACAAGACTATTTTACTTCATGGGAAAAAACTAAGCGTGGAAGTAATGACTTCTGTTATACAATCGCATTACCTTCGTTTGAACTTTTTACTAATTAACCTATGGTCTTTAAAGTGATGTATACATTGTTTGATACAATTAACAGATTTTCTGAATTTATAATGTTAAAATTATAACCGGTTAAGATTGTCATTTCTTATGGCCTGAAATTCAAATGATCATTCAACCTATGTACATGTACGTAAATTGCCATTTCGTAGATGTGGTTTTACATTTTTGCAGTTCGTGACGTTTCAGTATGGAGTATAGCCCCCTAAAACAACGAACTGAGGGGTGATTGACGTGTTCTATTCTCAATTTCATTTTAGTTGACTCACTCTAGCGGCGAAGTTTATAATTAAAATTACCAAGATTATTGTATTTAGTCACACTTTTTAACGATATAATTTTAAAACAAAAAATAAGTTTAAAGAGGTATTGTAATATAAGTTTAAAGTGTCAGGAGTTTGTGTTATTTCACCGACTTTCGAAAATTGGTAAATTTAAAAACAACCAATCTAGCTGTGCGTTGAAAAACGGGAAGTTTTGTTTCCCAAACCACGGAGGTGAGTTCAAAGCACTTGAAAATCTAATTACATTTTCCAATTTAAACAATATCTTGAGTGTTATGACAATAAAGATACGCTGTACAGATAAGTTATAGATAGGCTAGCGTAGTTTTGATACCCTTCTTAAAGTGCTCATTTTGTTTATAGTACTTAAATACAAAGAGCAGTAGCTGAAGCACTTTTAATAAAACTTCGTTGCACCTGGTCTGCAAGTGTTTCTGACAATGAATAATAACGCTTTAAAATATTATTCAACATTTCAAACAGTAACAAGTAGTAGTGTGTTGTACATACAAAAACGAATTGTTTACTATGTACTACAAAATCGTAAGTTGTACACAGTAATATGTTTCAAGTAATAACCTGTATACACAAAAAGTTACTAATAGCGTAATATTCATTCAGTATTGTCAAAGAAACGCAGTTTCTTTCATTACGGCTGGCATAGAAAAATTAAATAAAAAACTGCTGTTAGCAAAATATTTGGGGGGTGATACTTAGGCCACAATTTAACTATTGTAGGGCATGTGCCCCCCCAGTTTCGACGTCTGTGCAGTATCTGCGATATCAAAACAGTTTCATTTACGACATTCCAAGTATGATTAAGAAAAGCTTTATTAATCACGATAAATTCTGATGAAACTTAGTTTGTTTGAGCAACAATGAGAAAGACAAACCCATGTTTGGCGAAAGCATAATTTATTAATTTTACTAAATATACTTGCATGGATAATGTATTATCAAGCACAGTGACCAAATATGTTACTTAGTGACTGTTGCAACTTTTCATGACCATACAAATAGCTTTCAGTAGATTAACACGAAGCAGGCTAAAAATAAGAATAAAAAAATAACTTCTTCAAAATTAAAATAGCTAGAGACTGTATACGAAGAAGATCATATCAGTAGGACATAATACATTTATAACAAGAAAAACAATAAGAAGCCGTTTCTGATGACTTAAGGTTATAATAACGTTTCGAAAATGTAACACCAGTAAAGTTTTGTAAGAGACAAGGCTCGTCAACTTTATCAAAAGCAGAATGAAATTAGTGTATAGTTTATGTAACACTGTAACATTTCAAGAAATGCGAATTAAGTTTTGTTGTACCTTTGTTGAAAATTTAACATAACAGCCTGGATAATCGACAAGTGCGACATTTAGTACACAGCAGTTATTACATGTAAAACTTTCTACAACATAAATCCGTTAAAATGTTTAAGTCAAATACTTTAGAAAAAGTTCGTAAATCAATTTGTTATTAAACCTTGTTTAAAATTCAATTTTGGGCTCATGATGTGACAAAAAAAGATGTATCTGTGTTGTACAACTAACTTTCTTTTTTTTTTCAAACAAAACAATCCAAGTTTATTCACTTTGAATTCACTTAAAAATTACATTTTTTTACTAAGATCTCATTTCAATAATCTGATTTAGAAGGGTCTAATTTGCTGAAGCAAATTTTAACAGGTTTGTAGATGTATATATCCCGAAACCTTTACACTATGGGACATAACCTTTTGATGTTGTAACATGAGGCAAATTATCGAGAAATTAATAATTAATTTTACTCAAAACTTTTTGATAACTTTACCATAAGTTGTAAGTTTAAGATCCTTCTTTGATGAACTGTAAAAAATATTATAACACAAAACAATTTATTGCATTAACAGACAAACAAATATCAGTGGAACTAAACAGAAATTGGAACATCGAGATCAAAACACACGTCATTTTATAATATTTTGTTAACAGTTACACAATAAGGCTCATATGACTTCTGAAACACAATGAAAAAGTGTAAAAGTTAATTTAGACTAAAAAAAAAAGCGAGTTTTGGTTTTATTACCAGATTGAGCCAACATTTTGTAACTTGGGCTGGACGTGTTCTAACGGTTAGCTTCTTGGGCTGCGGATCGTTAATAATTTCTATCAACTTTAGAACAAGTCACCTGGGCTGCCAATTTACACTGCTTAGTAATCGTTTTTTAAAGGTTTTCTTTGACAGTATTTTGGAAGAGCGCTAACTCTAAACGTCATCTTTTTTTTAAATAAAAATATAAAAACACTTGGCGATTGTTCAACCTATTATTTGTTTGTTTGTTTTTGAATTTCGCGCAAAGCAACACGAGGGCTATCTGCGCTAATCGTCCCTAATTTAACAGTGTAAGACTAGAGGGAAGGCAGCTAGTCATCACCACCCACCGCCAACTCTTGGGCTACTCTTTTACCAACGAATAGTGGGATTAACCGTTACATTATAACGCCCCCAATGCTGAAAGGGCGAGCATGTTTAGTGTGACAGGGATTCGAACCCGCCCCCTATTATTTAATTTAGTAGTTGATTTATACTTTAGGCTTCTTTCTCTGTTTCAACAGACAAACGGCCTAAAAAAATTGTTCTTCGAGAGAAGCTAACACCACATTCAATAATCGTTATACAAGTTTGGTTTATTTTGTAACGTTAAAGAAAATAACATGTTTCTAGGTTGTAACTTAAAATTGTGTGTGTGTGTGTCTATATACATATATATCTTAAAATTCAGTTAATTATCAGACATTATACTACTGAACAAGAATGTTTTCCGATATTACAAGTCTGATATTAAACCATATATAGTTTACAACCATATATACAATTTTTCCAAAACTATTCCTATTGGCGCTCTAATAATACTATTCACCCAAAACTATTATTGTCTGCTCCCGAAGAAGGTTGTTCATCCGAAACTATTGTTAGCACTTGAAGCTAAGAATTTTTTTTAAACAAAATAAGTAAACGTAAAAAATTCACTCTGCCATCTACCCTTCAGCAAAACAACAACGCACAAAAAGTCTCTTTTTTACGTTACTTATTTATAACGTTATGCATATAAAAAACAGTTGAGAAATATACAGATGGTTGTTTTAATATAACATATTTAAAATTACAATAATCGCAATAAACCAACCTTAAAAAAAACATTTACAATTTTGTGAACAGCTCTTAAAATTTTACACAAAGTAGTCATATGAGTTTTTTGTATGATTCGATAGATGAGTGTAAAGTTTATAAAGGGTAAAAAAATTAGCATATTTATATTTTTAGTTTTGGCTTTCGGTAGAGTTCTATAGTTATAACGAGTCTACATATTTTAGTTATTTCTTAAGATCCTTAAATTAAAATGTTCTTACTTAGTTTCAGTGTTTCAAAACATCTGTTCATGAAATACCAATAAAAGGTATGATTTTCAGTTAAAGTTGAGGAAATAAAGGGATCCCCTAGTATGTTTATGTAAATCAGTACTTCCGTAAATTACGTGAATATAAAACCTGTAGGGTTTATTTAAATTATGAATTTGAGACTTCTACTTATTCAAACACTAGAGAAACCGTCAAAATTCGTAAAAAACATTTGAAGACTTAACCTTGTGTGATGAAGGTGCGTTAATGTTAAGAATATCAGAGTAAAGACGATTGGGATGATTTAAATAAATGAAACCAATAGAACTGTGCTCCTAGTACACAAAGCACTAGTCATGATAAAAACGTTTTGAATAATTAAACAAACTAATGAAAACAACATCATTAATCCAGTTGTGAAAGTAAACATACAATGAGAAGTTCACTGGTAATAACGACAAAAATAGCGAAATTCAATACACACGTTTGCATATATTAACCTTTCATTGGTTATATGTGTGTGTATGTTAAAATTTTATTTTCTTCTTCAACTGAGGTGAAATTGAAAAGAGAATCTTTGATTGGTTGGTTGTTTTAGAGAAACCCCAAATTGGACTATCTGCTGTGTCCATCGCGGAGAGCCCCCTCCCCAGTGGCACAGCGGTATGTCTGCGGACTTACAACACTAGAATCCGGGTTTCAATACCCGTGATGGGCAGAGCACAGATAGCCCATTTTGTAGCTTTTTGCTTAATTACAAACAAAAACCATTGCGGAGAATCGAACTCCGGACTTTAGCTTTCTAAGGCCGTAAACTTACTGCTACCCCACCAGCAGTCATTATTGAACTTCGCTACCAAATTAAGGAGAACCCCCAGTGTCTCAGCAGTAAATCATGACGCTAAATATCGGGTTTCGATACCCGTGGTGGGCAGAGCACAGATAGTCTATTATGTAGCTTTGCACTTAACAACAATCAAACCAAGTTCAAAAGGAAGTCATATAACGATGACCTCGTAAAATCTGTCTGCTAATTTATTTATTAATATTTATCGAAAACGTTGGGTTTGTATGGATCACTTCTAAAATTTCATATATTCTACTGATGATATTGGCTTTAAGATTTCAACTGGTCAGAGGTACGTTTGCCGATGTACAACGCTTAAACAAACGAAGCATTAAAAAGTAATCTAGAGAAAGTGACATTGCACAAACCATTTTTTATGGCCATATAAATGTTGTTACCATTTAAATTGTTAACAACACCCTTCACTTAAGTCTTTCTTTTAAACTGAAATCTTGATCATATTATTCATAATTATATACCCACCAGTGGCTCAGCGGTAAGTCTGCAGACTTAAAACGCTAAAAGCACAAAGGCGAGAAAAGCACAATAGCTTATTTTGTAGCTTTGTACTTAACAATAACCAAAGCAGATCCATAATCTTACAAAGTTTTGGGAATTTTATGTGTTAGACATTCGATAAAAGTCCAACAGAAAAATATCTGTTGTAAAAACTTTGTGAAAATTGAAATCAAGTATAATTGAACGTTGATTTATTGGTATTTCTTGGGAACTTTTTCCTGTGTGATAAGTTAACTTAGTGTAACCTTTCACTGCAACATTTTAATATAATTATAATTTCATTAACCGTCCGCTGCACATGGCAACGTACAGGTAATAAATACAACTTTGTTACACATACAAAAACTTCAGCCCCCCAGTGGCACAGCGGAATGTCTGCGGACTTACAACGCTTGAATCCGGGTTTCGATACCCGTGGTGGGCAGAGCACAGATAGCCCATTGTGTAGCTTTGTGCTTAATTACAAATAAACAAACAAAAACTTCAATTCTGTCGATGAATGCTCTTACCACCAGGTAACAGTCTACATAAACCATGGCATGATTTTAATTGGTTCCTCAATTGAGCAATGTTACTTCTAGGTAACGTACCCATGTAAAAAAAAAAAGCGTATATTTTTGAGTAATGTAGACCTGTTTAAGTAAGAATTTCAAAGAAAATATCTCTTTCCACCATGCATTAAAGGGTTAATCAAAAAACTAAGTATTAATATGCCTAATCATTCGTTTTTATACTGTATCTACATCGTACAAAATGAAAAATTCATTAACCATTATAAAAAGTGTTACATGACAAATTGTAACCAGGGGCTTATATGAAATATATATATATATATTATTTTAATCACCGTTCTCACTTCGCCAATTGAAGAATACGATGAGTCAACTAACCAAGTTCTCGATTTTTTCAACGGTCCCTACCGTTAACTTATACTTATCGATTTACTTTCATATTTAAATGCCAAAAAACAATTCAATATTCTATTAACAATTCCCTCGGAAACAGAAAACAAACTGAATTTGTTTGTCTTTAGAATTCTATTCGGTAGGCGGCGCAGCTAGTCTCGTGATCTTGAAGATTTATTATACATCTGTTAGCCGATGGAGCAACTTCAATTTTATTGGCTGCTAACATTTCTCCATTTAGAGCTATCCAATAACCCAAAACATCGGTTTCATAAGTTGGAACAATGGTCACTTCGGCGTCTGTATCTTCCCAATATTTCTTGGCTTCTAAAAGAGCATCGAGAGTATCTTTTGCTAGACTGATGCCACTAAACACATAATATCGCGCTCGTATTTTTTTGAAAAATTCTTCGTCACAATAATTTGGATCTCCATGATTTGGAACATAGGCTAAATCAACATAAAGAGGGCGTGAAAGTCCACTGGAAACTAAGTCTCTAGATCTTCCTGCCAAACTGGTCTTCTCTGTTCTAGAAGATGATACTTTTACAAAGTTTCTTGGAATGTTCTTTCCGTTAGGCAATCCTTTCTTAACACTGTGGTTCGAAGCAGGTGTTTTTGATGGCTCGTTAGAAACTGTCTTAGATGGCATTTTACTGCGCTTAGCAATGTTTTGAGAATCTGGTGGTGTTGGCAAACCCATTGGCTTATCCCACTTTTCCAAATGAAACTCTTCGCCCTTCATGTCCAATTGCAAAGACTTGAAATGAATATTCGATTCTGACTCTTCGGTCAAAGACATAAGTTCTTGTGTCTGAAATTCGTTGAACGTTGGATTCTGACTATCACTGACATTTGATTGGCTTAGAACTGGTGCATATGCAACTCCATCCTTTAGGTTACCAACTTCCTCTTCTGAGTAACAGCTACTTCTGGGGTGTTTATTTTTAGAAGCTTGTCCTCCATCATAAAATTTATTGTCATGTTCAGAAAAATAGGAGGAAGAAGGAGAGGAACAATCAGGCCTTATGAAGTTTATGGGTTCTTTAATTGTCATATCATGAGATAGTTGAATTTCACCATAATTATTTTGGTCTTGAATCATTGTTGATGATGAAAACGATTGGTAACTAGGAATAGTTCCTGATCCATAACTAACAAATTTTTTTCTGTAAGTTTGTTCTTTATTTAAGGGATACAAGCCCGATGAAGAATCTAAGTCCGTCACTTCCCTACCTTTTACATCATATGATCTTTCACTTAAAATTTGACTTTTGTTTGGATCACCAAAATTGTCACAAGCCAGGTTGTTATTCTCTCCAACGTTAGGTAGCTTTTTGTCTTCTTCCGAGGGATTATTGGAAAATGTTTCAAGTACACCATTTTTGTCACCAGATGCTGGCTGCTCACACATATTATTTGAATAATACTGCATAGTGTCGATATTAGCGATTTGATCTGTCTCTTTTTGGTTGTATCTTCCTTCGCAAGATTCTTGAAAACAGGATATCGACGGATGTTTACTCTGTTCGTGCACAAAGTCTCTTCCTTTATAATTAGCTTCATCTCTCTTGCTGCTTTGTTCGATTATGTCCCGTGTAACAATGTCTGTTGTTTTACTATCGAAGTTCTTATCATTGGAAGCATTTTGGTAACATAAATCTTCTACGTTTGTATTTTCACAAGTTTGATCAATACTTTGTTGTCCAGAATCAAGTAAGTAATCAACCGCTTTTTCAGTTTCTTTATGTTCCAGTTCTGTTACCGGTGAATCGTTGACAGATTCTCCTGTACCTTTCAGGAGGAAAGGATGATCGACTAGATATATGTTTTGTTTTTCTTCTGACACTTGATGTTTGGAATCTAGAGGAGAATGTGGTTCAGAAGGCGTTGAACTTTCCGAAATATTGACCATTTCTGGGTAGTCTGCTTTCATTGCATTTCCATAAACTGGCTCTTCCACAACAGGACTTGCTGATCGTTCAGAGTCTTCTTCTTCAGATTCTTCATATAATGGCTGTACTGTGAGGTCCTCACAAATTTGAAAAGGATGCGTCCTAATGTCATACTGCAAAATATAAGAATTTGCATCAATGTGATCTTCTTTCAAACGAGAAGTAGATCCTATGTGTTCATAAAAACCTTGAACATCTGGGGGGGTTGGATACCGGATTATCTCTCCATCATCCTCATCAGACATTTCATATTCTTTATCTTGGATTTTTTTGTCATTTTTATTTAAACTAATATTTGTCAAACCCACTTCATCTTCCTTTAAGACCATTTTATTTTCAGCAGAATCAATATTTATAACTTCCTTAATCTCCATGTTGTTTTCACGGCTACTATCAGTAAAACCTTCCCCAAAAGACTGGTCAAATGATTTTTCAGTTTCCCCACCAGGAGTACCATCTTCTGGTAGAATGTCATCACTCACAGCATCTAAGGTTTCTGAAGCTGAGTAGTCCCTGTCTGAAGTATGTGTTTCAGATTGAACTCCCAGCTGATTACCTGGGATGTGTGTATAATCTTTTGGCAGCTCCATGCTTTTATCGCTTGGAAATATGCCTTCTTGTTTAACCTTTTTTGCTTTTTCTTCTACCAACATCTCTAACGAGTCTACAATTTCGTCTTCTGTATTTCTTTGATCAAACTCAACCTGATTATCCTTGTTTTCTGAAAGCTTAGAGTTATCTGTGTTCGAGTAAACGTTGCTACTACTTCGTTGGTTCTTATTTTCTTCACAGTGAAAATTAAAATTGCTTATTGGAAAGGTCGATTTTTGTTCTTCGCTAAGCGGACTCCCCTCTTGAAGAAAAGGGTATGCATCTGAGTTACAAACAAACATTTTTTCATCCATGGACAGTGGTGTTTGATTAGTTATGCCAATAGTATCTTCAATAATGAGTTGACAACTATTTTCTGTTTGCAGCATATATTGAGGTTTTTCTTGAACGTTTCCAATAAGTTCTTGCTGTGAAGCTTCTGCTTCTGACTGAATAACATGCATTTCTTCTTTGCAAAGGGGAAACATGTCAGAGCTATTCAAACCAATAACTGGCTGAAGTTTTTCTGTTTTACCAAGTTTCTTGTCATAAGACATTCCTGCATGGATCTCTTCGTTATATCCCAAGTTTTTGTCCGATATACTAAATAATGTTTCACCATAATGAGTCACTTCAGTAAGATCAAATCCTGTTGTCGGTTCCTGTATATTTGTTTTTTCGTCCAATTCTTCCAATGGTACATCATTTCCAGATACACTGTCTAAAGAATCATCGTACTCTTCAACTTGTTCACCACTTGGTTGCAACAGCGCTTTTTCAGAATAGCTAATAACATCTTCATCTGATTTATTGTCTTGGGTTCCATGTTGGAAACTTGCAGAATTATCAAGCATAACCTTAGTATCTTTTTTATTCGTTGTAGTGTCCAAACTTATATCCGCTGTGTTATCTAAAATTATGGAATTTTTATCTGTTCTGGCAGATGTCAGATTATCATTTACTTTTTTTCTGACGCTCATGCCAGTTTGCTGTGTTTGTTTTACAACTTTCGAAGTAGGTGACTTTCCAGAGGGGTTGGGCGAAGATATTGATGTTTTTTCATTGGTATCTTTTGAAGCATGCGATAGTTTTGTTGTGATGTCAGGTCTTTTGATCTTTGTTTCAATCTTTCCATTTTTGTCAACAATTTCTTTCTCTGCAATTTTCTTGTTACTGACATCTTTAGCACCTTTAGTTTTTTTACCAAATTTAGGTGTGGGTTTTACGGTATTTTTAATGTTCGAAACCTGTGATGCTTTTCCTCTATTGGTAGATGTTCCAGGTTTTGACAGAATGTCTTTATTTGATTCTGATGTTTTTCCTCTAAGCTTTGTATCTAGTTTTTCGGAATCGATATTTTTCTTTGTTGAAACTTTAACAGAGTCAGGTATTTTTCTCTCTGATGTATGTTTATTTACAATTAGATTATCCTTTTTAGCAGTTACCATCTGACTTTTATGAATTACTTTCTTCTGTGGCGAAGAGTTGTTAAGCTTTGGAAAGACTTTAGCAACTGGCTTTTTACCATTTTCAGTTAATTCAGGTATATCTGCAAGTCTTTTCTGGAGTATAGATTCAGTGCAGTCGAACTGTTGCAACATATCAAGATCTTTTATTGTCTGCAATCCTTCAAAAATCTTAGTTTGTGGCGTATTTCCAGTAACTAAGATTCTGGTAAAGAAATCTGTAGGCTTTGCAGGCCGCCAGACCAGGAGTACCGATATTGATACCAAATCTGATAAAGGCAATGCAATTTCGTTGTAAAGCTTCAAAATGTCTTTCGCTCCTGAAATGCTATCCTTCTTTGAGCTCCAGTATTGAAAAAAATCCTTCACTTCTCTACTGTTTTTGGATGGGTTAAGAACATACATATCCAAAGTGCCATGACCCATCTTATGATATAAGGTCAGTGGGTCAGTACCATTCTCTCGGAAACAAAGATGTGGCTTCAGTTTCAGCTTCCATAGATTATTTAAAAACTCATGACCTTCTTCAAAAAGACTGACTAAAAGTTCATCTTCATCTTTTGGGACTTCATCACAAGGGGAATCTCTTGAGTCCGTTATGTTACAAAAAACATAACCAACATGTGGAAAAACGTGTTCTTTTTGCTTCCTTTTAATCAAGGAGGTAACTCCATTTAGATTATTTTCGCTAACCGTCGTAATCATCATGGCATCTAACCTGTCAATGTGCCGAACAAAGTCCCAGAAGCACGGTTTCCTCTCAAAGCCTCCATTAATTAACATATTAAAACCACTGATTCCAAACAAAGCACAGTCTCCATCACCCCCAGGAAAAACGTACAATGATGGTCGACTGAAACGAATGTTCCCTACGACTGGGGATGGTTTCATGATTTCCTCTAGAGACTGACTTATTAAACGTCTTTTCAGGTAATTTAGAAGCTCTTGGTAACCAGGAAGAAAAGAAGTTACAACAGGAGGGTTCAATGAAATACAGGCCAGATTTTCAATAACATTTTTTTCACACCAATCTCCCTCAGGTGTACAATGGACACGTACTGAACATTCAGGACTCTTAGCAATCATTTGATGAACACCTAGATCGTTAAAAATTTCAGCGAATAACTTAAAAGTAAAAATACCATCTTGGAGAATCCAGGAGCCAGATCCAGTGAAGGAGTAACCAGCATGAATGATGTGTTTATATGTAGTTGAAGATGAGAGCAGGTTCTTCAAACACTGTTTTAAAACTATAACTTTTGGATTCAAGAGCACTTCCACTACCAGTGTTTCTTTTGAATATTGGATTAAAAAATCTGAAATAAAAACTAAATCTTAACTGATGAACCTTTTAAATTCAAAGGGATGGTACCTAGTCTAAACAAGAATCATACCTTCGCAATAAAACTAAAACTTAATGAAACACCTATGATAACATAAAACTAATTACTTGCTTAAATCAATGTAAACATTGCCAACAATAAATAAATTGAAGTGAAACACGTAAACGTATTTTACCTTCTGCATCTTCTGTATGGCGTTCTTCACTAAATGCATCTTTTAGTCCAACTAAATTACAGCCTGTTTTGCTTACATCCCAGGAAAGTAGTCCTATAAGGAAAATAAAACAAACAATTATTAGTTTATTTGTTGTAAGCACAAGACTACACAAGGGGCTATCTGTGCTGTGTCAATGCAGGAATCGAACCCAGAATTTTAGTGTCATAATTTAAAACTTACTGCCGAGCCACCAGGAGGCAAACGGTTATTATAAAGATATTTTATAGCACATAAGTTCGCACTAGAAGCAATTAAAAACATTTGATTAACTACTTCATATTTGTATTTTTCATATGCTCAACTTACAATTTTAAAATCCATGGTTCGATTCCCCGTGGTAGATAGAGCTCACTGTTTAGCTTTATACTAAAACAAACAAGTAATAGTGATAAAGATCTATTAATCCTGTCGTGTACTTCAAGAAAGATTGTTTGATATAAATTGTTCATACGAAAAGTAGAAATAGTTTGATTACATCAATTTCACACGTTTTTATTTCTGGATCGGTTATTGGCTGCTATAAAATGAGTAAAGTAGTTTTGGGATTGATTATTGGCTGGTATACGATGAAATATGCAATTTTTAGATCGGTAGTTGGCTGCTATATATATATATATTCAGATAAGCAGTTTGTAGGTTGGTTATTGACTATTATTTGATTAGATAAACGGTTTTTGAATTGATTATTGGCTGCATATGATTGAGATGAGCAGCTTTTGGATCGGTTGTTGGTTGCCATATGCTTGAGATGAACAGTATTTGGATCACCTTTAGGCCATCATATGATGAGATAAGTAACTTTGAATTGATTGTTGGCTGCTGCATAATTGAAATGAGGAGTTTTTGGATCGGCTTTTGGCTACAATGTGATGAGATAAGTATTTGTTGGATTGGATTTTGGCTATTATATGATGAGATAAGCAATTTGTGATCTGATTGTTGACTGCTATATGACTGAAAAAGTGATTTTCCGACTTGTTCCGGTTGTCATGTGTATTGAGGTAAGCACTTTTCGGATTATTTGTTGGTTATATTGTGTATTAGCTTGGTTTTTGGACTTGTTGTTGATTGACATATGACAGTACTGTAATACTTTTCACGTAATATAATTATAGATAGCGAATCCTGACCATCACTGATGGCAAAATTGGTCAACTGGAGCATAGCCTGATCTGTTACACTTGATAATCTTTTCTCTTGGCCTGTTACTAATGGTTGATGGCCATCGCTTATACAGCAGCAGGTGTTTTCCATTTCGTTTCCCATTGCTAGTAGAATTTGATGGTTTTTAAACAAGCGATTAATTAAAGAAGCAGTCTTCGATAACGACAATTTCTGCAAAGGAAAATACTCCTTTGAAGAGGCGTCGCTATATACTTAAAAAATTCGGGGTTCGGGCCCATAGACGCGGGAATTTTTAGCATTTAAATTTGATATCGATCATGGTTTTCTATTCTGATTTTTCAAAACACCAACTGGGAATTCGGGGAACTGTCAAGTAGAATCGGGGCACGGGCCCCGTGTGCCAGTGCCTAGCGACTCTTCTGTTCCTTTACATGCCCTTTTGAAAGCGCGGCCAGGCATGGCCCGGAGGTTATTGCGCTCGACTCGTAACCTGCAAGTCGTGGGTTCGAGTCCCCGTCACCAAACATCCTCGTCCTATCAGCCGTTGTAAAGTGACGGTCAATCCCACTATTCGATGACAAAAGAGTAACACAAGAGTTGGCGGTAGGTGATAATCATAATCTCAACATAGTTTGGTCAACAGTTATTGTCGAAAACATATTGTTCATTTGTTGTATAAATGAAGGATTTCCATGCGTGCGACTACTGTGGATGTAAGTAAATATATTTACTACTTTTTCTTGAACTTTAGATAGACTTACACCTGGAATTATCTATACGTAATCTCAACAAAGTAGAATAAATATGTGAAGTACAATAATAGGATGACTCGAAATACATATGCAAATATGAACTCATATAAGCTAAGAACTTAAGAAATTGGAGATGTTGTTTAGTTCTAGTACTAAACAGTTAACAAGTTCTTACAGATGTTGTTTAGTCCTAGTACTAAACACTTAACAAGTTCTTACAGATGTTGTTTAGTTCTAGTACTAAACAGTTAACAAGTTCTTACAGATGTTGTTTAGTCCTAGTATTAAACAGTTAACAAGTTCTTACAGATGTTGTTTAGTCCTAGTACTAAACACTTAACAAGTTCTTACAGATGTTGTTTAGTCCTAGTACTAAACACTTAAGAAGTTCTTACAGATGTTGTTTAATCCTAGTACTAAACAGTTAACAAGTTCTTACAGATGTTGTTTAGTGTTTAGTACTAGGACTAAACAACATCTGTAAGAACTTGTTAACTGTTTAGTACTAGGACTTAACAAGTTCTTGCAGATGTCCTAGTACTAAACAGATGTTGTAAATCTTCAGGATGCTAATGTTTAGTTTGAATTTCGCGCAAAGCTACGCGAGGGCTATCTGCGCTAGCCATACCTAATTTAACAGTGAGTGGCTAGAGGGAAGGCAGCTAGTCATCACCACCCACCGCCAACTCTTGGGCTACTCTTTTACGAACGAATAGTGGGATTGACCATCACCTTATAACGGCTTGGTTAGAATTACATTTCAGTGTGTTTGATTCTAAAGGCAAGTACAGTTATGCTTTTATTTTTTTACTATAATGGTTATGGTTATTTTATTTGCATATCAAAACAGGAACTTTCATAACAAGGAGACCATTCTTGATATTGTTATACTGTGCAAATCCAGGTTACAAAATTAAAATTTGTATAAGTAGTAGGAAATGAGGAATTAATTCGTAGAAATTTCACCTGCTGCAACAACTAAGATATATACCATAACACAGATAATATGTTACAAGATATATACCATAACACAGATAATGTTACAAGATATATACCATAACACAGATAATATGTTACAAGATATATACCATAACACAGATAATATGCTACAAGATATATACCATAACACAGATACTATGTTACAAGATATATACCATAACACAGATAATATGTTACAAGATATATACAATAGCACAGATAATGTTACAAGATATATACCATAACACAGATAATATGTTACAAGATATATACCATAACACAGATAATATGCTACAAGGTATATACCATAACACAGATAATATGTTACAAGATATATATATACCATAACACAGATGCTATGTTACAAGATATATAGACAATAAGACAAATAATATGTCACAATATATACACCATAACACAGATAATATGTTACAAGATATATATATACCATAACACAGATGCTATGTTACAAGATATATAGACAATAAGACAAATAATATGTCACAATATATACACCATAACACAGATAATATGTTACAAGATATATACAATAACACAAATAATGTTACGAGATATATACAATAACACAAATAATATGTTACAAGATATATACCATAACACAGATAATATGTTAAATTTACTTTACACAGTGCTTATTGTTTTCAAAGACATTTTAACTGGATCACACTTTCAACTAAAGTTTATAATGTACAATCATTAAATCAGCAGTTTGATTTATTTTGTTTTCCACAAGTAACCCTGAGTATTTGGTTGGTTGTTTGATTTGAAGCAACGCCATATTGAGTTATCTGCTATGTCCACCGCGGGAAATCGATCTCCGGATTTGGCAACGTAAGTCTATAGATTTACTGCTGTCCCATCGGGAAGCCTCCAAGTATTACTGATGTATTACTGTTATTGAGTGAATGTTTAGCATTAATATGAGATACAAGAAAAAACAATTAACACAGAAAAGAAGCCTTTTGTTTATTTTTTCTTTTATAGAATACCCTTTTTCATACCCCAGTTTAACGGAGTGTTCCTCTCCACATTTGAAATGAAAGTTTCGCCCTGAATATCACCCTGCTTCATTATCAATATTCACGCAGTATTGTTTCTTTAGATTTGAGAATATAATATCATCTCAGAATCTTCTTCCTTATCAGCAGACGAAGGTTACAGATCGATCTACTCTTGGTATCCATGGTTACTGCCTACAGAAGTAATGCTGTTATTTCTTATTCTGACGAATTTTCATATCACTCAGTTTTGTTGCTAAGTTAATTACGATGACTCAGTCTTGTTGATAAGTTAATCATGATGACTCAGTCTTGTTGCTAAGTTAATTATGATGACTCGGTTTTGTTGCTAAGTTAATTATGATGACTCAGTCTTGTTGCTAAGTTAATTATGATGACTCAGTCTTGTTGCTAAGTTAATTATGATGCAAACCGTACATAGAGCGCTGTAAAGGGTTATGTTTTTTATTAGAGCCACAAATCAAACAAGACGAACTGATGTTGAAGGACTAACAAATATTTCTATTCATATTTTTGACAGAAAATGAATAAATAAAACTTAAAATGCTAAATGAAATGCAAATTTTCTTCTTGGAACCATGTTTTAACTCAGAAGTTGTATAAATATTTATTAATTTAAGGGAATACCAGAGAGCCTAGGTTTTATACAGTGATAAATGTTAATTTATAGCCACAGAGCTGAGAGGAATATTATGTAAGCAAAAACATCGGAACGTCATTTCTCGTTCACTTTTCTAAAACATTCAACACTTCATATTTCAGAAGTATATTTTAGTGACAAAGAAAAAATGAAACTATCTGATAACCTTTTATATATCACAACAAAGAAACAGCGTGAGAACAATTAAACTTTATATATAACTATAGCATCTCATTTAATAATATCCACTTTACACTCTGTAACACTATCAGAACTTAATGCAAGATAAGTTTGATCTAGTACCATAAATAAATATAAACACCATTCAGCATTCACGTTAAGGCATTTAAGTACCTTATTACTGACTGTCACTTTTGTAGCGAATCCACAGCTCTGAAGCACATTTTAGGGCAACGGGGCGCGAACCATTAACCCACTGATTCAAAGCCCGGGCACGCTAACTACTAGGCCCCGCAGTATACTATATCTTTCGATCAGATAAACAAAATTATAACC